AGTCGTTTTCGACCCAACCATCCTGCTTAGTTTCCAAGGAGCAGCTGGTGAGCTTGAACCGGTGACCTTGTGTTTCAAAGCAAACTTGCAGTCCAGCTCATTAACCCACAGCACCACACCAGAACTCCCCAGGACTTCAGGAGCTCATTGTTGTTGTTGTTGTGTGCCGTGGAGTGTGGAGTCGGTTACGACTCAGAGCGACCCTGTACAGGGTTTCCGAGGCTGCTTTACGGGAGCAGAAAGCGTCATCGTTCTCCCACGGAACAGCTGGTAGTTTCGAACTGCTGACCGATCCGTAACCACTACGCTACCAGAGCTCCTTCAGGAGCTCGTTGTTGTTATGTGCCATGGAGTCGGTTCAGACCCATAGCGACCCTGTACAGGGTTTCCGAGGCTGTAAATCCTTAAGGGAGTAGAAAGCTTCATATTTCTCCGGCGGAGCGGCTGGTAGTTTCAAACTGCTGACCTTGCGGTTCGCAGCCCGATCCGTAACCACTACGCTACCAGAGCTCTGTCAGGAGCTCATTGTTGTTGTTGTTGTTAAGTGCCATCGAGTCGGGTCCGACCCATAGCAACCCTGTACAGGGTTTCCGAGGGTGTAAATCTTTACGGGAGTAGAAAGCCTCATCTTTCTCCCGCGGAGCGGCTGGTAGTTTCGAACAGCTGACCTTAAGGTTCACAGCCCGATTCGTAACCACTACGCTACCAGAGCTCCTTCAGGAGCTCATTAGCGGTAAACAAATGAAACATAGCTAGCTACTCAAGGACCTGGGAACATAGCCCACTAGGCTGAAGCTGTAAGTGCAAAGGCCCTGTGGCTGATTCCTATCAGTTTGGTGTGTTCTGTGAAGAGGAAGAAGGCCAGTGAGACTAAAGGGATGTGGGTAACAGCCGGAGTCCAGGCAAGCAATTTGCTCTTACTGGCCACCAAGAAAAGTTCAGGCTTCAGACTGAGAAGCCATTGAAGGGTATTATGCAGGAGTGACTTGGTCTCATAAACTCTTGATAAGAGCTCTTACTGCTAGGTGGAAGACAGAACGCAAAGGGCACAGGGCGAAGGGAGGAGGGTCACTTGGGAGGCCATGGCTGTGGTCCAGTAAAGGGCGGGTGGATAGTGGCATGCAACAGGGTGGCGGCGGCGAAGGTGAGGACTGGTCAACAAATTAGAGTCACAGCGGCAGGGACCAAAGGAATCGCGGTGGAAGGAAGCGCCTTGCCAGGCAGTCGGTAGCGGGCGGGGCCAAGACGTGGGTGAGGACCGGAACCTAGCATCCGTCTGGAACCCAGGAGTGACACTCCGAGGAAGGGGTGACCAGGACAAGTCGGCTTGTCCCGGCGCCGGGTGTCTGCGGCGCGGCGCTGCACCGGGCCCTGGCTGTGCGCCCGCCCGTCGTTTCCCGGCAACGGCCGCCGTTGCGCAAACGTTCCGAACCCTTCGGCCCCAGCGACGTCATCGTAACCTTGGCGACGGCCGACGGGAAAACAGTCTTGCAGGCTCTGGAGGCGGGGTCTGGACTCTACGAGCTCCGCCCCAGCTTTGGACTCGCTTTTAGCCCCGCCCCTTCCCCGAAGCCAAAGGAGAGGAGGAGCTTGTCTCCGCTGCACGTGTGTAGAGAACCCAGCAAGGCCTCAACTAGGGTGGTTGCGCTCTTGGCGCATTCAGCACGGGCGCGCCCTTTCCTCCACGCGCCACTTCTACTCACTCTTCCCCTAAGACCGCCACCTTCAGCCGTTAGACTGGCTTCGTCATTCATATCGTCTCCTCAGAGATACCTGTCCCGACCACCTAAACTGAAGCTAGCTCTCTCCTCGTTAACTGACCTTGTTTTTCTTTCTTTCCAAGTATTTTTCTCTCTGCAATTATCTTAGCTGAATTAAATATTGTCTGCCTTACGTTTTGAAACCTAAATTCCAGAAGCGTCAGGAATGAATTCTGTCTCTACTGAGTAAATGTAAGTTGGGTGAATTGATGTATTCATTCAATGATTTCCTGTGTATATGCACTTGATTAAACATTTATGGAGTGCCTTCGCGGCACTGCTTTTGACATCACTGGAGATACTGGGATCCCAGGTGAGAAAAGAGATACATTTAAAAATAACAGTGACAATAATACTTAAGATGAGGCTGCACTTTACAGATTACAATTCACTTAATTTTCTCAATAGAAAAAAACCCTATAGCCACCTAGTCAATTCCGACTCCTAGTGACTCTATAAGGCTTCCTTGTAGGGTTTCTAAGGTGTTAGAGAATGCAGATGTTTTGCTGCTTTGTCACTGGGATGGCTTTGTCTTCTGTTGGGACTTAGTTAGGTCACTTTGTTGAAATTTGCTCAGCCAGTCTAAAATAGTATTAAGACTTAACTTTTCCCTATTTATGGTAATATTTAAGGAAATTTGTGACTCTATGGGGTTGCTAACCACAAAGTTGGGGGTCAGGACCACCAGCTGCAACAAGAGAGGCTTTCAGGTCTTGCAAAGATTTACAGCCTGGAAAACCCTATATAGATAGGGTCGCTGTGAGTTGGAAGTGACTCTATGGTACTTAGTTACAAAGCTTCACAGAAGCAGACTGTTTCATCTTTCTCACTTGGTGACAGGAGACAAAGCCACTGACCTTTCAGTTAGGAGTCGAGTACTTTAACCACTGTGCTATCAGGACTCCTCCCATAAAGATTACAGCCTTGGAAACCCTTTGGTTTCCTGTAGGATTGCTATGAATCAGAATCGACTCCACGGCAGTGGGTTTTAACCATCACGAAGGCAGACTTGCTTTGTCTTTCTCTGGCTGGTACCAGGGTTCTAACTGCTGACTCTTTGGTTAGAAGCCAAGTGCGTAATCACTGTGCCATTAGTCTTCCTTTCAAGTGCCATAGAATCAGTTCCAACTCATAGTGACCCTGTATAGGGTTTCCAAGGAGCAGCTGGTGGGTTTGAACTGTCCACTCTGTGATTAGCAGTCAAGTGCTGATCCTAAAGTGCCACAGCAGGACCCCAACTGAGGAAACTAGTCATGCTATAAGCCGGTGCATTCTGTGATGAAGTGAAATCCCACAAAGGGCAAACGAGGAGGACAAGTGACTGGGATCCCAGACCTGACCCAGGTGTATGGATTTGGTATCAGAAGGTAGGGAGGGGATCAGAGCTCTGTTGCCCCAAAGGAAAGTACCCCTCCACATCAACTAAGCAGGCAAAGGGAGGGTTGTGAGGGATGTGGAGTGCTGAGTCCTGGGGTAGGTAGGTATACCTGGGAGGACCTGCTTATCCCATTGAAACACTGTGCGTAAGTTCCCGCATAAATTTGTGGGAGAGTGAGCTGGCAGGATATATCCCCTTCTTACAATAGGATACCCAGGAAATCCAGGAATTAAACTTAGCCACACCTCTGGGTTTTAGCACGTGCTGCTGTTTCACACTAGTGAGCTCTCGGCCATCCCACCCCAATGTGCACTTCGCCCTGCTCAGGCCAGAGGTATCACCATTATTTCTGATTTGGTTTTCCCTGGTGATTTTCTGTGTCCTCAGTTTAGAAAGTCAGTTTCCTGAGAACTGGATCCCATTGGACTTCACCTCTGTGTGTCTGTTGCCTAGAGCAGACCTGGCATACAGCAGGTTGCTGTTGTCAAGTGCTGTCGAGTCAGTTCCGACTCATAGCACCCCTGTAAAAGGTTTCCGAGGAGTGGCTGGTGAGCTTGAACTGCCGACCTCGCCTTTCAGACCAATCTTGCGGTCCAGTGCAATTCAGCACTTTTTTGAAAGAGTGAAAAAGGCTCTAAATCACTCCAGCTTTCTAGCCCAGGAGCTATCTACTACACCTCCCTAGGAACCCCTGCTGGCACACAACACCTGGTCTGAGCTGGAAGCAGTGGTCCAGCCAAATTGACCATCAGGAGTCTCCTGGCCTAAGGCCTTCCCTCCCCCCAGACCTGACTGGACCTCTCTCCCACTCTAGGGCAGGATTCCAGCCGGATTCCACTGCAGAATGAGGTTCTAGAACCACCTGACTTCCTTCCAGGTAAGGAGGCCAGAAGTCAAGAGGGGAGAGGTGTGTGTGTGTGTGTGTGTGTGTGTGTGTGTGTGTATGTGTGTGTTAGGGGGTGGGGTGGGTGGCAGGCAAGAATAAGGGAGCGGGTAGCATTTTTCTCATTTTCAGCCAAGATAATGGATGAAGGGCTGGCTTTTCAGAACCTTCGAGCACTGCTGTTGTCAGGAACATGAGACACCTGGTAACATTGGCTGTTTTTACCCCAGAGTGGCTACACAGACTCTGGAATGGATGTACAAACTATTCAGATATGCACAGAGTAGAGAATAAAACTTGGGTTTATTCAGGCTGTCTCCTTCCTATTTGGGGTGCAGAGTGTGGGGCTGGGAGTGGGGAAGAGAAAGACAGTAGTTTGGCTTCTAGGAACATTGCTGATTGCTGACTCACTCATTGTGGCCTTTGGGCCTCTGGGATGGGCTGACTGATGGAGCTGGTGACCGGTTCCTTGTGGACCCTCAGGCCATCCCAGGCAGAGTCCAATTCCTGTTCGTTTGGCTCTGGCTCTCTGCAGGGATTACGGAGCAAATGGCTAAGACCACTCAAAAGAAACAAAGGCTAGGGGTGGAGTTGTACTCGCAGGGGAGTTCAGCACAGGCAGCAGTGTATACACCCAAGTGTGTGTGTGTGTGTGTGTGTGTGTGTGTGTATGTGCAGCAGCCAAGCCTCCGTGTGTAGCATGTGTCTGTCCACATTACATCCTCCAGCTGGAAACCCTCGTCCTATTTGGGTGCCTGTGCCCATCTGAGGGCCTCTTCTGACCTTTTTTTCCTCCTTGCAAGGTCTGGGCCTATTGATGGAATTGAGAGAAAACTGTTCATAACAATTTCCCAAAGATGCCCTTTCTTCTTCCTTGGTCCTTCCTCATGTGTGCGGGAGGTAGGTGCCTACCTCAGTCTGGGACCCTGGAAGGAGGTGCCCCAACAGTGGGTGGGAGCTGTGATGGGAGGTGGGAAGCTCACTGGGCAGCTGGCTGGGAGCGGCCGCAGAGCAAAGGCCCCATCCTAGGGTCTGCCAGGCTACTGCTGAGCCTTTAGGGACTGTGTAGGAACTGCCGCAGAAAGTAGGGGGCAAGGAGCCCAGGGTGGGGGCCTGTGCCCCTAGGTGGCTCTGCCTGCTTAGTGACTGTTCTGGAGGATGCTAGGACTGTGTTCCCAAACTGGTCCATCTCCTCATACTGCTCGGTCACGGTTCTCATGGCTTCGAAGTGCTGAGAGCCACCAGGCCCAGTCTGTAGCTCCAGAACACTCTTCTGCTGCCCAGTGGGCAGGGGGCTGGCCAAGGCAGGAATAGACTCCAACTGTTCAGAGGACTGGGTGACCTCCTTCCTGCCGGCTACATCTTGGACATCTTTCTGGACCAGGTGTTCGTTTTTTGCTGTGATGCTGGGGCTGCCCTTGGGGCTGGCAGCTTCCAGAGGCTTCCTTGTAGCTGACTGGATGGAGATGAAGGTTGGGGAGGAGGATGAATCTCTGCATGAAGGTAAGACCTGAGGGAGGTCTGCATCTTCTCTCAGTGCCTCCAGCTTCCTGGTTGGAGAGGTAATGGGGGCTGCTGGGCCTCTGACCTCTGTGTGATTCCTAACCTTAGCTTGATGCTGGACCTCAGCATTGCATCCAACCTCAGTTTGGCTCCTGACCGCAGCTTGACCCCTGGCCTCCTGAACTGGCCAATCAGGCCTGCTGCTGGATATGATACTGACCTTGTGGGCACTGTGGTCCGGGGAGGTTCCCTGGGAATGGTCTCTGCTATTAGCCTCAGGTTGAAGATTAGACATGGAGCTGAGGGCTTTGTGAACAGCTTCCTCTATGTCCAGCAGCCTGGCCAGGGTCTGTTCTTTCAACCGGGCAACTTCCGTGCTGACCCGTGTCAGCTCTCCAAAGGCCTGTTCTACTGAGGCCTCGGTCTTGTGGGGAACGGCAGGCATGTGAAGGGCAGCTCCTCTCAGCTCAGGCACAGCCTCAAAGAGCTTCCGCAGTGCCTGCATGTCCACCCTGCTGACAGCCTCTTTCTCCAGGGCTTGCACTTGGCTGAGAAGGCCCTGGAGCTCTTGTTGGCTGCCCTGTGTCTCCAGGCTCCCAGGGACCACCAGCTGGGAACCTTCCTGGGGTGGCTTTTGTGGGGGGTTGGGGTCCCGCTGTGGTGAGGTGGGGTCACTGCTGGGAGCTTTGATTTTGAGGAGCTCAGGACTCTGGACATTGCTGCCCACAGCTTGGCTCTCGGGGGGCTTGGGGCCCATGGTGTTGAGGACATGTTGGGGGCCAGCCTCACCTGCAGCAGTAGCACCCTTGTTCTTAAGGATGGCCATATCTTTCTCACCTTGTTTATGTTCTCCTGGCCCCACCTCTAAGGAGGATCCGGGAGACGGAGCTAGGGGCTTGGGCAGCCTCCGAGGAGGATGGATAAGGGATAGGTGGGCAGGTTTGGGGGGCAGTTGGGGTTTCTTTCTTGGGGGAGCCATCTTTTTCTGTGACCCTTCGGGGGTTCTCTGGCCATCACTGCTGCTATGGGAGTGGAGAAGGGGTTCTTGTAGGGGCTTGGAGGCTTGCTGGATGGAGTTGTCTTGGTGGTGAGTTCTGGCTGGGAAGTCGAGTCCTGTCACAACAGCTGGGAGAGGAGGAGGAGGAGGAACAGAGGCATTATGGGAGTGCAGGCTGGCACCTGCAGCCTGAGGCCCAGAGGCCAGAGTGTGGTGGGCTAAAGGGGCAGCTTTCAGGGTGATCTCTGCAGCGTGGAGGCTCCCCGGGCTCACGTCTGCCATCGCCTTCCCTGGAGGCCCCCGGGCACTCTGTGTGCCGTCCCCAGGCTCTGGTTGGAGACTCTGGCCCAGGTCTCCCTGGTGTGGGGTAGGAGTCTGAACTGGGAGGGCAGTGTCCTTGTCCCTTGGCTGGGGTTCCCCTTTGGGAGGTTGGACACCCCTGGATGTGTCAAAGGTCCTCACTGGGTGCGCAGAGTAGACGCCTGCAGCAGTCACCCGCCCCCCAGGCAGCCCTCTGGGCAGTGCTTTTGGTTCCCCACTGACCTTTCTGGGGGCTGCTGGCATCTTGGGGTCACCTCCAGCCACAGGCCTGGCGTTGCTGTGGGCAGCCCCAGGGGTTACGGCTGGTGCTTGTGGAAGACCATTCTGGAAGGGTGAGGAGGTAGCCCCAGGGCCCAGGCTCTGCTTGTGCTTGTTCAGAACGTGCTGGTGCAGACTCTGAGCCTCGGCTGTTGCAATCCGCAGACTCTGCATGGCAGCCTGGAGGTCTGGGGCTCCAGGGTCCTGGGACACGGTCATGGCTCCCTTCCCAACTTTCTGTCCAGTGCGACCTTCTTCCTGCTTTTCCATTCCCTGTAAGCGGGCTGCAGCTGCAGTGTCCCCAGGCAGAGGGACTGTGTTTCCAGCTGGTGGTGGGGGACCTTGAAGATGTCCTAATCCCAGGCTAGGATCCAGGGGAGGCACATGGATGATGTGCTCCGTCAGGGGCAGCTTCTGGGCCCCCTCGTTGCCTGGCACTGGACTTGGGTCAGTCGGCGGCTCCCACCGCAGACTCTGCAGGCTACTCAGGTCCCCTTTGTCTATGCAGCTGGCCAACAGCTGCACGCTGCTCCTCTCGGGGGCCCTACTGACTGGCCGGGGCTGGAGGGAATAGGCGGTCAGAGCTACTAGGCCCTGTTCAGTCTCCTGCATCACCAGGCCAGTCCTCACCACGGAGGGTGTGAGGCCACACGCCAGCACCTGCTGGAGCTCGGGGTCCAGGTCCTCCATGCTCCTGCAGCTGCCTGGCGCTGGCAACCTAAGAGGCGTGAGTCGGAGCTGGCCTGCGGGGTCCTCCTGTACCAGCAGTCCCTGCTGGTCCACGTCTGGCCGGCAAAGCACTTGGCGAACGATTCTGGGAAGCTCGCCAAACACCAGCTCCTCTTTCCGAATGTGGGGGCGCCCTGACCCTGTGCCCGGGAGCACATACTTGGCAAGGCAGAGCTCCCCAGGCCCTCGGACCTCCATGAGGATGCCCCCATGGTGCAGGATGCCAGGCGTGGCATGCAGAGTCCGAAGGGTTCCTTCAGTGGCAGTCTCCTGCCTCTCCAGTAGCCCGTTGCCTGAAGGGCCCACCGGCTGCTGCCCCTCCTGGAGGTCACCCCCTCGGATGCTTTTGGCTGCTAGTGAGTCCATGGGACAATTCTCAAACAGCCATGTGAACTTGTTCACAGCGCCCCCAGGGATGGGCCCAGGAACTACCCTGGATCCCTGGTCTTCTCTCTTGCCTGCCTCTAAGGCTTGGAAAACCTCCTTCTGACGAGACACTTGCCCAGAAGGAATCTCTACTCGGCTGCAGTATCGTATCGGCCCTCTCCTGCAGGGGTGGTCTGAGGCCTGCATAGGCTCAGTCTCAAACACATGTCCATCTGTCTGTCTTTCCCCTGCCTGGACCTGGCCAACTCGTAGGTGCTGCTCCCTGGAGCCCTCTGGTCTGTGCAGGGATTGAGGCTCAAACATCCAGGTGCAGGACCGGACCTCTGACTTGGTTGTGGGATCTGTTACCTCTGACCCCTGCTTCTCTGCCAGCTCGCTCATTGGGCATGTCTCAAATAACCACTTGATGGTCTGCACGTCGCCCTTTGGCAGGGCCTCAGGCTGGGTACCTCTCTGATCTTTGTCCTCTTTTTCCTCTCGCTCCTGTTGCTCTCGCTGGTGGATCACCTCTAGGGGCTGGGTTTCAAAGAGCCACCTAGTGGTGCTCACGTCCCCGGCCACCACGTCCTGTTGAGTGATGCCCCGCACCACATCCACGGTACTTGGGTGTCGACCCAGTTGGTCTAGGGGCTGTGTCTCGAACATCCACCTATAACCCTTCACATCGCCCCCAACTACCTGCTCTCTGCTGACAGATGTCAGGGCATGGAGTTGGCCCTTGCCATCCTGCATCGCATACACTGGGGACCCTGTGCTTTGGGGCTGCCCAGAGGAATCAGTCCCCTCTGTCCTGTTCATGCTCCCAGAGGCTGCAGGCTCATCCTGCCTGATACTGTCCAAGGGAAGGGTCTCAAAAAGGTTCTTGAAGGTCTTCACGTCCCCCTTCAGCTTGTCTCTCTCAGAGGCATTCTGAGAGAGGGGCAGTGCTGAGGAGCCACCACTAGATAGACACCCACTGTCCTGGGCATCCACCCGCTGCAGGTGACCCACTTGGACACTGTCTCTAGGAGCATTCTGGGGCTTCATCTCAAACAGCCATAGGGTGGAGCGGACGTCTCCAGGGACCACCTCCTCCTTGGGTGGGGCCTCTGTTCCAGCCTCCTCTTCCCCCTTCAGAGTGTCCAAAGCTCGAGTCTCAAACAGATGCCGCTGCTGTTGAACATCTGGGCCAGGAGGAATAAGATCTGGAGATGGCTGGAAGTCTTTCTCATCCACAATGATTTCCCTGATGGCATCCAGGGGCTGTGTCTCAAAGATCCAGCGAGTTGCGCTGACATCAGGCCGAGCTTCCTCCTCCAGGGAGATACCCCGAATTACCCGCACCTGGCTGGGGTCACGGTTAATGGCGTCTAAAGGTTTGGTCTCAAAGAGCCAGCGGGCAGACCTCACCGCATTGCTGTGGATCTCCTCGCGGCACGCAGCCTTGATCTCATGGATGGCGCCCTCTGCATCCTGAATGGCACACAGAGGTTCCGTCTGGAATAGCTTCACTGTCTTCTTCACATCGCCCTTCAGCTCCTGGATCTCAGAGCGTAGCTCCAGGGGGCTCTGCTCTTGGATGGAGGGGCGGGAGCCCAGGCGGTCCAGTGGCCGGGTCTCAAAGAGCATCCTAGTGCCCTGGACATCTCCGCTGGCTGCAGGTTCCTTCACTGGAGCCTCCGGTGGCTCCTCTTGGCCCGTCAGCTCATCGAGTGACTTGGTCTCAAACAACCAGCGGGCTGCACGAACATCCCCTCCTGAGGCCCGGGGACCAGCAGGGTCCTCCTGGTCTATGCTGTTGGCAAAGGATCCTTCCTCAAACTTGCGGGAGGTGGCCTGGACATCACCACCTGGCACGGGCTCCTTGGCAGCTGGCTTCTCACGGTCCCCAATGGCATCCAGACGCCAGTTCTCAAAGATCCAGCGCATGCACTGCACGTCACCCTCCGTGGGCTCTTCAGAGCTCAGGACCTCAGCCAGATCCTCCTCCACGGCCTCAGCCAGGTTCTTGCGGAGCTCAGGGTGGATGTGCTTGTAGAGACGGCGTAACTCGCTGGCCTGTCGCTGCTGGTGGAACTTGGAGAAGGACTCCTTGGATGGGGGTGGTGGCAGGGGCAGGTCCTCTGTGCTCGGCATCGGGATGGTTGTTGCAGGGGCCACCTGTGTCTGGGCATCAGCCATCCTTCTGAGGAGAAGGGGTGGAAATGAGGATGGGGCTGGGGACCTCAGGTGGGGTGGGCTCTGGCTGCTGGCAGGGAGGGCCCTTCAGTGACACCTGCTTAGAGACTACCGCTTCTCTGGCCACACTGGGTACTGCCTGGTCTGGGCTCACTCTGTCATCTGCCTGGTCAGGTACAAGACAAGCCTCGAACTTAGGAAATGTGTCATCTAGCAAGGTGAGTTCCTGCTTCTCCAGTGTCATCTAGGTTGCTAGAAAGCAAGCAGGACAAGGGTAGCCTAAACCAGTGAGCAAACTGGACATGTCCAGTCCTCCTTTTCCAAAGTCATTTTTTCTCTGAAGGACTCCCAAGTAAGTGGCCTGAAGGAATCTGAACTAGAATGAGGTGGGACCAGTTGCGATGAAGTCGGCTCATAGTCCAGTAGAACTGAATTTTTGATGGCCGATGTTTCAGAAGTATGTAACAGAGCCCTTCTTCCCAGGTACCTCTGTGTGGACTAGAAATGCTAGCATTTTAGTTAGCAGCCCAGTGCATTCACCATTTGCACCAAACAGGGAAAGGTGGAACTGAGTCCCCATGGGCTGATAATCCCATTAAGAACACCAGAGGGCGCCCTTGCCACTTTGTCTGCGAGCTCAGATGCAATTCTACCTCTTGGTTCTCTACTCTCTGGCTTTTCCCAGGCCCTGGCGGCATGATGGGGGTCAGCAGCCCATACTTTTAGAGAAAGTAACGGATGCTCTGGAAAGGGCAACTGTGCACATGATATATCATGATTGTTGTTACGTGCCATCAAAGCGGTTCCGACTCAAACCCGTATAGGGTTTTCGAGGCTTTAAATCTTCGCTGGAACAGAAAGCCCCATCTTTCTCCCAAGGAGTAGCAGGCAGCCTCGAACCACGGACTTTGTGGTTCGCAGTTCAGTGCTTATCATATGGAGCCACTGCACTCCCATATCATGGTAAGGCAGAAGCAGATTCTGCATTCCAGATCAGAGTTCTAAGTGCCGTACCCCAAGGTCCAGGTCTGAACCATGGGGACCTTAAGGACTTTCCAACATAAAGAGCAAACCAACAATAAAAAAGAACCAAATCCCCTGCCATTGACTCATAGGTTTCTGACACTAAATCTTTACAGAAGTGGACTGCCTCATCTTTCTCCCTTGGAGCTACTTACAGGTTTGAACTGCCAACCTTGTGGTTAGCAGTCCAGTGCTTAGTTCACAGCACCACAAGGGTTCCTTTCTTCTAACTGAACCTCTCATAATTAAAGATGAGGGAAGTGGGGCCCAGAAAAGAGTCAGATCTTGGTAAATGAGTGGCCGGCTGTACTAGCTTGAGGGTCCCAGACTTTATTTGGGGAAATGTTCTCTTTGGCAGTTGTTATTGAGTGCTATTGAGTTGGTTCTGACTCATAGTAACCTTGTATAGGGTTTCTAAGGAGTGGCTGGTGGATTTGATCCACCGACTTTTAGGTGAGCAGTCCAGTGCTTATTCTATTCCCCAGCAGGCACCCCTAAGGGATAGTGAGGGTGATACCTATACAGAGAGGGCACAGTGGGTCCAGGGGTCCTTCCTGCAGAGACAGCCCTGCTCCTTACTCCTGGAGACTCCTCCCCACTTGGATGCAAGCAAGCCCAGCTTCAGGGCCTTGTAGGTGTAGGGCCTCGGACTAACACTACAGCCCTTTCCTGGTATGAATGTCCCTTACCCTCAACCCATATCTGCTCTTTCCTCTTCATCCTCTTCACATCAAACAGCTTTTTACCAAAGACACTGCCTCTCCCCAGCTCTGCCCCTGACCCCTCAATGGCTTTCCAGCCCCCTAGCCCTTCTCTGCTCTCTGTCCCATGTATGTCTTATCTGACTTGTGACAGGTGTACTGACAGCCCCCAGAGACCAGTCAGTGGGGAAGGAATGAGAAGCATGCACCCTCTTGCTGCTGCTGACCCACTACTCTGCTCTACACTGGTGCTAAATATAGCCAAGGCCCTGACCTCAGCATAGCAGCCCTGGGCTCGGGCTCCAGATCCCTCATACCTCTCATCTTTGGTGTCACCACCTCTGATCCTGCCTCCTGTGCTGGTGTCAGGCCCCTGGGACTGGATGCTGGACCCTGAAAACCTCCCCTGGCTAGATGGACTTGGGGAGCAGGAGAGACACTGGAAGCAGGTGGAAGGAGGACTTCCTCCCGGCCAACTCAGGAGTAGGGAGGGGGCTTCCTGGTCCTCACATAGACAGCAGATCCCCCAGGAGTGGGAGCTCTTAAATCTTAAGTCACTGAGCTTCTGTGAGGAAGCAAACTTGGATCTGCCTGACCTCCACTCTGTCCTGTCACCCCTGTAGCCTCACCAGATGGCACATGCTGGCCACTAGCCGCATCCCCACCCCAGGAATCTGAAGAATCTCTACCAGGGTCATAAACTGCTAGAATCACAGACTCCAAGAATGTCAGACTTCAGGGCCCTTTCACATCAACAGCCCTAACCTTCTGTTCAGAGTCCTGGTGTGGCGCTGTGGGTTAATGCGCTGGACTGCATAAGTTGGCTTAAACTGCAAGGTCGGAGGGTCAAGCTCAGCAGCCACTCCTCAGAAACCCTATACAGGGTCGTTATGTGTCAGAACCAACTTGATGGCACTTAAGAACAACAACAGCAACTCTCTACTTGGAGTTCTGGTGTGGTGTTGCAGGCTAATGCGCTGGACTGCAAAGTTGATTTGAACTGCAAGGTCAGCGACGCAAGCTCACCAGTTGCTCCTCAGAAACCCTATACAGGATCGGTATGGGTCGGAATGAACACATCAGCACTTAATAACAACAGCAACAACCCTTTATTCAGATGCAGGAACTAAGATCCAAAGAAGGAATCAGAGTTGTTCAAGGACAGAGCAAAGCAGTAATAAAGCCTAGAACAGGTTCCCTAATTCCTGCATCCCCCCCACCACATCCCTCCCTGCCTGACCTGTTGATGGGGCTTATGTTTCTAGAGGGCAGGGAAGCATGAGGACATACTTCAAGACCCCTAAAAGGAGCTCTGGTAGCACAGTGGTTATGCTGCTAACCTCAGGGATAGCAGTTCGAAACTACCAGCTGTTCTGTGGGAGAAAGATGAGGCTTTCTGCTCCTGTAAAGATTTACAGCCTCAGAAACCCTGTACAGGGTTGCTGTGAGTCGGAACTGACTCCACAGCACACAACAACAACAACCAGACTTAGAGTGGTGGCCTCGGCCCCAAGAAATGTCTCAGAGCCTGGCCTCCTAGGCAGGGCGGCCTCGCAGGGTAACCTCACCTTTGCTCCAGAAGCTGTCCTTGGTCCAGCCCTGTCCTTACATCTGTACCGATGCAGCTCTGGACTCCCTAAGCTGAGCCCCAGATCTGGCCAACAGCTTTCTCACTGGACAGACTCTGTACCCCTCCCCCCCCACCCCCCAAGGTCCTATTCCTAGGCAAGGCCTTAGGCCAGCCTTGGGCAAATATTCCAGGGCCAAATATGCCAAGACTTTTGCCCTCAACAGCTGGGTGAGGGCTTGTCATGGCAAAGCTGACTCAGGCCTACATACCATTTCCCATGTCTCTCAGGCCTGCCCCCAGGGAAGGCTGAGGAGCTCTTTTGTTGTTGGTAAGTGCCTGGGGTCCTGGTTCTGATGCACACTGACCCTGTATAGGGTCTGTGAGGAGCAGCTGGTGGGTTTGAGCCACTGACCTTGTGGTTTGCAGTCCAGTGCTCATGCTACAGTTCCATACCAGGATGTTGCTGTTAAGTGCCATTGAGTCAATTCCGACTCATAGCGACCCTGTGTAGGGTTTCTGAGGAGCGGCTTGTGAGTTCGAACCACTGACTTTGTGTTCAAACCAACCTTGTGGTCTGTAGCACTATACCAGGACTCCAGTATACCTGTATCTAAAAAACTGCATTCCGGGCCACCTCTTCCCTGAAGCCTTCTGGATTATGCCCAAGCAGACAGACTAGCAAAAGCCAGTCTCTCCTGCTGGCCTTGGCTCCCACGGGCCGGCCGCATGCTAACTCTCCCTTAACTGCTTGTGGATTCTTTGTATTGGAAACCTTTCCACTTGTAAAAAATGGTCCCGCAGTGCCTTCCCCCACCAGAGCCACTCCTACACAGGCTATCCTGAGAGCCTTTCTGAGGGAAACAGGGGATCCCAGTCTTGATGGGCCACCTGCTCTGGTTGGAGCATGAGGCCACTTACTCACATGTTCTGGGTTCTGTGACAGGTGTGGCCTATATGGGTCCGTTGCTCCTCTCAGGGTTCCTGCTCTGCTGGCGGGGTCAGATGCTTGCTTGCTGCCTTGGTTCCTTCGGGTCTTTGTCCCCTGCCAGCCCAGGCAGCTGCCTTTATCTTGCTGACCATGGGGTGGGCCGGGTGGGGGCGGGCAGGAGAAGCTAAGTTCAGAGTATGAAGTGGTTGGGTTATTTTTAGGGCTTGTGGAAATCGCTCTTCCATCCAGGGAATCAGTTACATGTCTTTTTGACTGGGGATGAAGCAAGGCCCGAGGAGCGCTTCATTCATCCCAGATCTAATCTGAGGATTGGGGCTAGTGACTCTGCCATGTGGGGTGGGGGTACCTGAGACTCATTTGAGGGATGAATAAGTAGGAGGAATCTGATACCTGGGTGGCCTCTGACTAACCCTGGCCTGTGTTGTCAGGAGACAGGAAGCCCCCCGAAGGCAGGGTAGTCTCCTCTTCTTTTCCTCTTTTCCCTCACTACCCCCAAGGACTTTCTGAGAGTAAGGCCCAACTCTCCCCCCACCACGACCACCCCACGCCTTTGTTCTACACTAAAGATTTCTCCTTCTCTTATTATCATGAAGGCCCTGGGTGTTTTGAATGGTTAATGTGCTCGGCTGCTAACCAAAGAGTTGACAGTTCAAGTCCACTCAGGGGTACCTCAGAAGAAAGACCTGACTATCTACTTCTGCAAAATCAACTACTGAAAACCCTGTGAAGCTTAGTCCCGCTCTGACACACATGGGGTCAC